TCGCAGCACGCCGTTACTAGTGCTGTAATGTATAATGCAAATCGCAGCACGCCGTTACTAGTTCTGTAATGTATAATGCATATCACAGCACGCCGTTACTAGTTCTGTAATGTATAATGCATATCACAGTACGCCGTTGCTAGTGTTGTGGTGTGTTATGCAAAACGCAGTACGTCATTAGTGCTGCAATATCCCTTACGGAATTTCCCCCTCTGTCGGTATAGTAATCGCGTATATGCAACGTATCTCTCGAGTATTTCTTGGGTAAAGTTTCTTGTGTACTTGGGGCTATTGGTTGTAACGAACATAATATACAGGATAGATAGAATTGTTCGTACCTTCGACTTTCCCCGTTTTTAAATTTCAATAATAATAATTAGTTAGGGAATGTGACTTTCATCACGCACTTAAAATATATTCTAAAACTGATTTAAAATCAACCCAAACGCCAATACTAGTTGACAAATAGACAGCCATTTTATTATTCATAATTAGTAACAAAGACAGTCATTACAGTAAGGTCTCTTATTCATAAACACACTGAGAAAAACCCCAAACAATTTTTTTTCACAGCTCGAACCCCTCATCGCGAAATGCACATAAATCAAAATATAATTTATATATTGTCTGTACTGGTATCATGCCACTAATCAGCCAATCACAGTTCGTAGCGTTCAATTTAAATGCCTTGCAAGAACCAATGAAATTGTTTAAATATTTTTTTCCCTGAGGTACTCCCTGTTTGAGGGCGTGCATCGCTTGAGTCAAAGGTGAGACTAAAATTTGATTGTTACACACAGCCGCTGAGTAATTTACTCAGCGGCTGTGTCCCTGTGGGATTTTGTTCTGTGTGTATTTTTTAAAATCCAAGTTTAAGCTGGCCAACATCATAGTTTGTTCATGTGGTTAATTACTGGCATGTTCATTTCCCATTTTTTCAACTTTGTTCATCATTTTCATATAGCAATCTCATCATATGTTAACATTGTCGTCTATGGAGTTTCAATTAGTGGTGTGAGCCCTACGAGATAGAAGGAGCACTTTGAATGGTTGAACATTTCTCTATTTCATCTATGGAGGCGCAAATATCATACGTCACTATCTTATAAAACACTTGCATGTAATATATGGTGGGAGTAAGCTGAAACATTATACCTCGAAAGTTCAAAATTGCACTGCACGACTTGCAATTGTTCGCTTTTCATTTAAATAATTTTCCATTTTAGGTACTCTATATTATTTAAACCCAAAACAACTTCTTAATACATGTATGTTTCCATACCTTGCATCATGTAGTGTATCTTTTGTATAAAGTATGCGTTGATACATTTACCAATCACAAATCAGAATCACAAATCAAACACTAGAAATGTGTAATGTAGATACCTTCAGTCCTAACAATTATTAACCGAATAATGTTAGTGGTGTTTTCAGAATTATAGATATACTAATAATAAGTAAAACATAAATAAACGGTAACTTTTTAAATAAGTATCCGGTAAAGTAATCATATTGACTATAACACAGGGA